AATGAACATCCGTGTAAAACTCCTACAGAGGTGCAAAGAAATCACATTCCAGACAGAAGCTTGCCTATTTATGAGTTTGCAGCAAGGGGGAGGAGTGGAGGCAATCCCCTCCCAAATGAGAATGCCTTGGAGGTAGAGAAAGGATTAATCCCCTCCTAAAGAAGAGGAAAGCAAAAGAAAGGGAGGAGGAACATGAGTAAGTAGGATGGCAAAAGCAGCATTCTTCTCCCTTGGGACTGCTGGACTATGAAGATATCTATTTGTGCCAGCTGCACAAACAGTTTCTCAGTCTGCAGACTGACTGACGCTTGTCTTTGTAACTGCTTCAGCTCCCAAGAACACAAAGGGAGTCCAGCAAGGGGTGCAAACAACAAATTACATCAGCCCAAGAAAAGGTTTGTCCTTGACATGTTCAGGGCTGCCTGAATACTCCAGGTCCAAAGTGTCTGGAAAATCTGACAACTCAAGAAGACAGGTTAAGTTGGTTTCAGGGCAATAGTTATAAAACATGATTGCATATCAAGACATGCTCAATTCTTAAGTGGTAATTCTAAATCAAATAATAAACCCAAATAAAATTGATTTTTTCATGGAGACAACATCAGATATTCCATAAATTATTCTCCTCTAAGGAAATTGATTGCACTAAAATTCTTTTCTTCAAAACAAAATTGAAGACATTTCTGATTTAGTCTTAATAATTAATAGAATAACAGCTTGCTCCCATAAAGTGTTGCATCAATACCCAATTCTTCTTATATCATTTGAAATATTTAAAGACCTTATTGTTTTTTGGCTAAGTAATGGGTTAAGTGACTTGCCCAGGGTCACACAGCTAGTAAGTGTCAAGTGTCTGAGGTCAGATTTGAACTCAGGTCCTCCTGACTCCAGAGTCAGTGCTGTATCCACTGTGCCACCTAGCTGCCCCTAGGACCTTATTTTATACATAATAATATATAACCAGTAAGAGTTAGGTGATGAGGCCAAATACTCTTTTACATAGTTGTTTAGGAAATAGAAAGGACTAAAATTCTGAGCTAAATAGCTCAAATTTATAACTACATCTTATTATAGTAGCTCAGATGTACTCCAGTGTTAACTTATTAGATAAAAAAATCTAATATTGTATTCATAGTAATCACCTGCAATGATTATAAAAAGAAAATAGGGACATGGCAATAGGAAGGGGAAAATGCTGCCCTAACTTCATGTTAATTCCAAGCAAGAGTCATATAGGTAGCCATTTGTATTGAAAAAATGTCATAGTCAGGCCAAGAGTCAGCCAGGTAGGAAAGTTTCCATTCAAAAAGAAATGTCATATTGGGGAAATCAAGTCAGGAGAATCCTATCTCAGTTCATGCCAAAAGTCATTCTCTCAGTCTTCCCCATGAGAACTCCACCTGCAGATCATAGATGTCAACCGTACTGGGTTACTGGCGTCATGGATCATTTTCTCAATAGCATTTCTAGAAGAGCCATAGGAATCAGACTCAGAATAATATCAATTACATCCCACAAGGCCTAATCTTAAACAGCAAGTTCTAATAATCATAGCTTTGGGTGGATTCAGTTATTCAAGATCACATATCATTAAGAACAAGTATTAACTATGGTCTCAGATAGAAAAGAGTAAGAAATTCATCATAAAAAATCATAGCTTATCTTGCCCTGGTTAGAGAGATTTGTTATGAGAGGAAGAAGCAGACACATGAATATAATAGCATCAATACTAGTCCTCTAGGCCTAAGCCCAAGGCTCAGAATAACTCGACATATGTCCAAGTACATGGCAGGATATCATAGCCAGACTCAGAATTAACCAGATGGGAAGATTTCTTGTAAGAGGAAATGAATTAGAAGAGTCCAACCTTAACCTTTCCAAGGTATCTCTCCCAACCTTATTTCCAGGGACAGATATCCACTGGCCTTGAATCTCAGATATCACTCTCATTGAGCTGCTGATGTTTTTCTTGAAGCAATGAAAGTTTTGGGGGGCAGCTAGGTAGCGCAGTGAATAGAGCACCAGTCCTGGAGTCAGGAGGACCTGAGTTCAAATCTGACCTCAGACACTTGACACTTACCAGCTGTGTGACCCTGGGCAAGTCACTTAACCCATTACTTAGCCAAAAAACAATAAGGTCTTTAAATATTTCAAATGATATAAGAAGAATTGGGTATTGATGCACTTAACCCCATTGCCTAACCAAAAAAAAAGAAAGAAAAAGAAACATTTGCCCAATGACCCAACAAGCCTAAAACAAAGCTCAAAAGGAATATTAAGGGTCCCAAAAGGTTTTGCCTCAAACAGTAAAGTCTCACTATGGCAGTAGAGCTGGACATAATTGTTGTCAGTACTCTCAAGTTGTTGCAATAAATTAGCTAGCAAATAAAAATTTATCAGGACTTCTTTTAAAAAAAATCACACAAAAGATTTTTAATTAACATTCCTTTCTTCTAGTATTTCTCTTTCTCAAAAAATAGCTGAAAATACATCCTGATATAAAAGGCAATCATAAGAATCTAATGAAATAATATATGATAGCTGTAAACCTTCAGACTGACAGACATCTAACTCTTATTCAATATTTAGAGGAAAAATAAACCTTTAAGACTGGAGTTTGTTAAGACTAAGTTGGTTAAAATGTGACTTTGGTACAGACCCCTTCAAATATAACTTCATAATTTATATTGAACAGTCTTATACTATAAACAAATTCCTAATTACCACCCCTCCTCTCCTCAAAAAGTCTTTGTAATGGGGGAGGAGATTCAGTGTTCTAAGTGAAGCAATACCCAAATTATTTCACAGAGAAAATCCTGCCCAGGCAGATTGTTTGGAGACACCTGGCATGTTTACAAATAAGGACATTTATACAAGATGTTTTCCTCCCTCTCACATTCTCTCATCCAGCAAGTAAGCAAGTCTTGGTCTTCTCTTTTAAAAAACATACCCAGTTTGGGGCAGCTAGGTGGCACAGTGGATAGAGCACCAGCATTGGAGTCAGAAGGACCTGATTTCAAATCCGGCCTCAGACACATAACACTTACTAGCAGTGTGACCCTGGGCAAGTCACTTAACCCCATTGCCTAACCAAAAAAAAAAATATATATATATATATATATATATATATATATGCCCAGTTAAATGCTTCATAAGTTTTAACCTTATCATAATAACCCCTAATAACAACCAATAATCTTATAATTTTTATAAGTGATAGCCAAATAGTTTTAGATGAAACTTCATCTTTACTATAGGCAAGTACTTCAGAATATTAACCATTTTCAAAGATTTTCTTTTCCTTAAATAGTTCAGCTCATAATTTAGCAACCTCCAGATTAGAAGACAAAATGCATTTCTAACAGCATATCTATATTATATCATAAACAATGTTATGGATTTGAAACATAAAATAAAATCCAATTCTAGTTCCTCAGTTCAGTGAAATACATCTCTAAATGACTTTGCTGTAACTGGCAAAAAATAAAATATTAAATAAAAATAAATAGATAGATAAATTACTTCACACAGAAAATCATTCTGAACCAATGGAAGGGTAATTTAATCCCAAAAGAGAAACTGATCTAACAAAGATAGTTAGCACCCCTTAAATAACTCTGTAACAACCTAACAGTATCTAAATTACAAGGGAATTTATTTTCCTAACTACTTTGGTGTTATTTTTCTAATTATTTTTGGTGGTGTTTTTCTAACCACTTTGGTGGTACCAAGTTTCACAATATAGACATGTATTTAATTTTACATTAACAATATTAAAAAACACACATATAACTTTGCCAGTTTGAATTCACACCTGCTATTTCGTAACTTAAATTGTGTTTATGTGACATAAGCCATTTTTATTTCTCATTCTAAGATTGTAGGTGGAAGAAAGGTTATTTTTTTTTTGGCCCAGGAGAAAAAGCCTTCCAGGAGTTTGAGCTGATACTAGCAAGGTGTGGTCCATTTTCCCCAGACAGAAACCTTTGAGAGTTTTCCCAAGAGTTAATTAAATAATTCTCAATTTGAAGGATACAAGGAAACATTTAAGGTCCTATATAATAGTCACAGATCACAATAATCAATATTTTTATATTGTTAGAGGTATAAGATGGGCAAGGCCCAAGGCTAAGCACTCTAGGAACAAGAGTTTCCTAGGAACCATCCTGAGAGGTGGGTGACGCAACTACCAGATGCTTAACTAACCTTACCTGTAACTGACCAAGAAGTCTGAGCTACAAAAATTCTTTTTTTTTTTCTTTAACATGAATAATTTTTCTTTTTATGGTTTACAGAAATTCTTAAGGCACTGTGGTACCATGGGGAGGGATTGAATCTTTTCCTTTTGTAATTCTAGTTCTCAGTTAAAATCAAATCGCTTTACTTTAACCTGGGCATGGGACTACAACTTGAAGTCTTAAGATATTGACACCCTGCTCAGTGGTCAATCTGCCACAAAATGCCAGCATTCAATACTACTTTAATCTGTTATCAGGGCTAGTAAGGTTTTAGGACCCTGCCTTTCACAGATGAAGACATTCTAAGGACATTCTTTGTTATGCCAACTTCATAGAAAACCATTATCATCCTTTATATTTCTAACGAGTTTTCAAACATACTTATGTCAATCTTTCCAGATGAAGGATGCTAAAAATCTGGAAGCAAATAAACTCACAATGAGCAAGTAAACATACAGAGTCAAATAACAATAAAACTTTTTTTTTCTCTGAGCCTAGTCTATTGCCATGTTTTTATGCTAATTGTTTTCTTTTTCTCCTTGGTTTGGAAATGGTGTTTAATGATGACTCATTCACAGCAGGAGAACTAAAAGGAAGCTATAAGCTACAGGTTTTTATCTAACCACATTTCTTGTGGCTATTTCGGTTTTCTTTTTCTGTTTGTTTTCTGTTGATTGCTTCATAACTTTAACCAGTTCCTGCAAGCCTTGTAAACTCCTCCTTTGGGACCCTTATTGTTTCCTGCCCCCCCCCAAGAAAACCTTATAAATGAGGGGATGAGCCCCAGAAAACAGCAAGGCAGAAAGCCTTTCAGCTTGATTTCTTCTTCTCCAGGGTCTTGAGACCAGCATCATGAAAGTCTTTGCTGCATTCTTCTCCATCCTTCTTGTCATTGGCACCCTCTATTCTCCAGCAGTCTCCTCCCCATGTAAGTTTCCATCCTCTCTGTTCTCCCTATGCTCTGCTCTGTTTGGGTTTGGGTTTTCTGTCTCCAGTGCCCAGCACAGGTGTCTTGGATATATCTAATCAAAATTTGTTTTTTGACAACTTAGTTATGGAAAGCTCCTTGAATTTAGAGTCATATTGCCTCAGTTTCAAATCCTGCTTTGCTCCTTGGCTCCTGTGGGACCCTTGGTTTCCTTATCTGGAAAGTGACTGGGTTAGATCCTCAAGTCCCTTCCAGCCCTAAACAACTATGATCCTGTGATTCAATGTCAAACTCTCAGTGTCTCAAAGAAGTTGAGGTAAGGGGAATTCATCACCAAAAAGCTTCCTACAAGGAAGAAATCACAAGTCTGATTTAAAAATTTTTTTTAAAGCAGAGGGCAGATCTTTAGATCAGAAGGGAGGAGGCCTGGGGTCTTTTCTTGAGTCCAGTAGTGAATGTAGCGTTTTTCTTTGTGTCAGTAGATTGGCTCCACAATCCTCAATTTTTCCAGCTCATCACCTCTGAAAGAGTGTGAGAGTGCTATCTGGGACACTGAGAGGTTTAGTGACTTACTCAGGGTCACACAGCCAGTACGTGTCGCAGGTAGGGATTGAATTCAGTTCTTCCTGACCTCAAGGCCAGTAAAAAGAGAAATACAAAATAGTTCAGCCACATAAAGATGAATATATTGAGCCCCAGAAATCCTCAAAGAGGATCCATGAGCTGAGTCAATGGTGAGGGTGAGGGGATGCTAATCCATTCTATCTACTCCAAAAGCTTTTATAGAAACATAAGGGCTAGAGTTTGGAGAGACCTCAGGGGACATTTAGTCCAACCTCCTTCATTTTACAGATGAAGAGAACTGAGGTCCAAGGTGATTAAGTGACCAAAAGTCAGAAGACTGGGTTCAAATCCTACCTCTTTCACTTATTGGCTATATAACATTGGCAAGTAATTTAAGTTTTCTGGACCTCAGTTTACTCACCTGTAAAAAGATGTGACTGGTCTTGATGGCCCCTGAGGTCCCTTCTTGTTCAAACTCATGACCCAATGATCCTATAAAAGTCATCAAGAGTTCTTAAACTGAGGCCTGTCAGCTTGGTTTGTTTGTTTGTTTTCAAATATTTTAACAATTGCATTTCCATAGCGCTGGTTTCCTTCGTAATCCTGTGTATTTTATTTTATGCATTATTACATCTGTTACATCCATACAGTCTTCATCAGACTGCCGAGAATCCCAGACAGATAATCTCTAAGCTTTCTTCTAACTCTCAACATGGAAGTCTTTCCCACAGCTAAGTTTCGGGGTGAGGGGGAACTAAACGTCTGTTGGTTTTATTTTGATTTGGTTTGGTTTTGAGAGGGGAAGAAGGGAAGGAAGGAAAATCCTCTTACCCTTCTTCTCCATTCTTCCAGATGCCTCAGACACCACACCTTGTTGTTTCTCCTTCACCACTGTACCAATTCCCATGAACCATATCAAAGAATACTTCTACACCAGCAGCAGATGCGGCAACCAGGGTGTGGTGTAAGTCATGGGCCCTCTATGATGTTGGGTTGGGGAACGGGAGAGAAGGAGAAGGAATTTTCTTTCAAGCCCACTTCTCCAGAAACCACATTCTACCTCAAAGGAGTTCAGTCATTCAATTTTCCAGGCCCAAAATCCTCAGGCAGAGGATGCCTGCTCTCCCACATAAAAAGCATAGAATTCCTGAGCTCGAAGGCACATTTTAAAATCAGCTTGTCTAAATGCATCATTCTACAGGTCAGGACCTTGAAGCTCAAAGATGACTAGTAATTTGCCCAAGATCACCCAGCTAGTGGTCAAGTTGGAACTAGAACCCAGGATTGTAGCTTTAGACATGGAAGGAACTTTGAGGGTCAGCTAACCAACTCCACCCTTTTGTTCAACCCTACATAGCATTTCATTTTTTTTTAAATCAATTTATTATTGTTGTTGTTCAGTCATTTCAGTTGTATTAAACTCCTCATGACCCTATTTGGGGTTTTCTTGGCAAAGATACTAGAGCAGTTTACCATTTCCTTCTCCAGCTCATTTGACAGATGAGGAAATTGAGGCAAACAGGGTTAAGTGACTTGCCCAAGGTCACATAGCTTATGTCTGAGGCCAGATTTGAACTCAAGTCTTCCTGACTCCAAACCCAGCACTCTATCCATTTTACCACCTAGCTGCCTTTAGTTTGTTTGTATGTTTGATTGTTTGTTTTTTGTGAGGCAATTGGGTTTAAGTGACTTGCCCAGGATCACACAGCTAGTGAGTGTTATGTGTCTGAGCTCATATTTGAACTCAGGTCCTCCTGACTTGCCTTTTTTAACATGCATTTATAATGTTAAATTTTAACTCCCCACTGCCCTTGCAACAACAAAAAAATTATTTTCTTTTTATTTATTTATTTTTAGGCAATTAGGGTTAAGTGACTCACCCAGGGTCACACAGCTAGTAAGTGTCAAGTGTTTGTTCTAAGGCCGGATTTGAACTCAGGTCCTCCTGACTTCTGGGCCAGTGCTCTATCCACTGGGCCACCTAGCTGCCCCCCCAAAAATATTTTCTTAAAAAACCATTAAAAGTTTACATAATTTTACAAAACAAACTCCCACATTGGCCCTGCCTGAAAATGTATGATTCTCTCTGTATTGAAGTTCGTCGCCTCTCCGGCAGGAGATGAGGGATATGTTCCTTGGATTTATTTCTTACTGCATTATTCAGAGTTCTAAAGTCTTTAAAAGTTCTTTTTCTCTATGACATTGTCACTGTATAACTTGTTCCCTTAGTTCTACTCACTTCCCTCTGTATCAGTTCACAGAGGTAGTCTCATGTTTCTCTGAAACTCTCCATTTAGTCATTACTTAGGGCATGATAATAATTCCATTATACTCACATATCCACAGTTAGGTTAGCAGTTCTCCAGTTGGTGGGCACGCCTTTAGTTTCCAGCTTTGGGGCTACTACAAAAAGAGCTGTTATAAATATTTTTGTACATATGGGTCCTTTTCTTCTTTCTTTGATCCCTCTGGGGTGTGGGCCCAGTAGTGGTTCTGATGAATCAAAGGGTATGCACAGTTTACCAGCCCCCCACCTCTTACAAAAGAAGAAACTGAGACCTAGCTAGGTCAATAGATTCTCAATTTTTAAATGGAGTTATGGAGGCCCAGAGGACAGAAGCAGCTTTACTGAAATCATTTAATAAATTTGTGATAGGATAGAGGAGAGAACCCAAGAGCCCTGACTTCCAGGCTAAGGATTCTAAACCTCTATTTTGTTTGCATAAATGTGTGCCTCAAAAAGGGGTGGCAGCCAGCTGGTGCAATAAATAGAGCACTGGACCTAGAGTCAGGAAAACTTCTCTTCCTGAGTTCAAATCTGGCCCCAAACACTCACTAGCTGTGTGTACCTGGGCAAGTCACTTAACTCTGTTTGCCTCAGTTTCCCCATCTGTAAAAATGAGTTGGAGAAGAAAATGGCAAACCACTCTAGTATCTTTGCCAAGAAAACCCCAAATGGGATCATGAAGAGTCAGACAAGACTGAACTGGGGTCCCAAAATGGGGGAAGACACGGAGAGAACTAAAACAGGCTTAGTGCAGTGACCCACTCCAATTTCATTATCTCGCTTTTACTCCCCATAGCTTCATCACCCGGAAAAACCGGCAGCTCTGTGCCAACCCTGAGAAGAAATGGGTACGCAGTTACATCAACTCCTTGGAGATGAGCTAGAGAGGAAAGTCCCCTTGGCCTGGACATCCAGCTTCCCCAGTCCTCAGCACACCCTCCACAAAGCTTCCAAGCTGATAATCCTGAAGCCCATACCTGACTATGTAACAGCCCAGCTCAAAAAACTTTGAATGGCTTTCTATTGCTTCTGGCACCAAGATGCAACTTCCTCTGGGATATTTAAAGCCCTTCACCACCTGGCATCAACCTATTTCTCCAGGACAATTCCATGTCTCACTCTCTCTCAGGTCCTCTATACCCCAGCCATGCCGGCCTGTACACAATCCTTTTCCCACCTGGGTACCTCTTCCCAGGTTGTCCTGGGCTCTTGGAATGCTCTCCATGCTCACTCCCAGCTCTTGGAATTCTGAGCTTCCTTCAAGGCTTTTCTCAAGCACCACCTCCTACGTGAAGCCTTTCATGATTCCTCTTGACCCACATTAGTGCTTCCTCCCGCCTTCCAAACTACTTTGTATTTTTTTTGTATTTGTCTTGTATTTACTTACCTGTGAATCTATAGCCTCTCTCCCCCAGGTCCTATGTCAATTCCTTGATGGGCAGAGATTGTTTTTGTATTTGAATCCCCAGTACCTAGTACAGGACCAAGTATGTAGTAGAAGCTTAATAAATACTTGTTGATTAATTGAGGAGAGACTCCTATTGTTTTTTTCTCCTAACCTCACCTCTCACCCACGTCACACACATATACACCACATACACATACGCATATATACACACATGCATACACATATACACACATATGTACGTGTAGATACACGTGCACACATAAACACCTGCATATACACACATTCACACACATGTGTGTGCATACACATACCCACACATCCCTCCCCTGCACCTCTAAGCACTTTCCCAGAAGGCAATGGAAACAGGGTAGCCCATGGAAAAAAAATGGGTCCCATTTAAAGTTAGACAAGAGAAGGAGTTCAAACAAGACTCAGTTTCTTAAATAGGCCGCTCTTTCTTTTGATTTAGTGACTTCCTAAAACTTCATGTCCAGGCAAAGCAGAGAAATTCTGTACTTGGCTATAACCTGATCCCTGGAAATTTCAAATATTGAAAATGTATTTTTAAGATTCTACTAAATGGGAGGAAGCAGGTGAGGAGAGATTGGTGACCCAGCCCAAACCCTTGCAACCATACCCTTCCCCCTTGATCCATTGACAGGTAGCATTCACTTTCTTATGACACTCTACAGTTTGCAAATGTTTTCTACAGAACAGTTTGGGGCAACTGTAGGAAGTACAAAATCTGATCCTGAGGGATCTAAGTGACTAGGACATTTGAGAGGCTAGCTTTTGTATTAAAATGCTGACACCACCCCAACTGAAGTACTGACTTTGCATCTGATCTCCCTTTGTGGTACTCCCCACCACTTTGACTAGTCTGGGTACTGGTAAGGCTGAGGAACAATAGTAGCTTGTCACATTTGTCCTGCTTTTTATAGTTTATAATGGGAACATTACATCCTATGTCTCATTTGACCTTCCCAAAGATCCTGCCCAGGAGATGGCAGGATAAGCACAACTGCGTCCATTTCACAGATGAAGAAACTGAGGCTCACAAAAATTGGAGTAGTGATGCTCAGTGCACATTTCTAGAGCACTTTACAATTTCCAAATCACTTTCATCCCATGCTCCTCCTGCTCCTTTAAATAAGTTTCTCTTTTGTCGGAGGGAAACAAGAAAGTTCTTAAAGTTCAGACTGAACATAATCCATTATAAAAATAGGTAGGAGTCTCATATAATTTACATCAAAATTTCCAATTTCAAGATAGACACTAATTTAAAAAGTCATTTTTAAATTGATCAGTACTTAACTTTAGTTTGTAAGACTCCTTAAGTATCTAACTAAAAGTTCCAATCAAATTCAGTCACCTTTTGGTTGTTTCACATTCACACAAACTTGTTTTTTTTGGTGAGGTAGGAAAAGGTTAGGTGCCAGTTCTATTCCAAAGTGTAAGCCCCCTCCTCTTTTTCCTTCACCTTGAAACTTTACCAAGTCAACCCATAAACCTGCCTTTTCTTGCTGTTGTTCCTACTTTCGTTTTCGAAGACCATTACTAATAACGTCACAAGTGATGGATTCACTTGGACGTGAATTAGATTTAAGTGAGGCAGAGTTGCGCAAAGTCGTCAGCCTTGTTCTCCTTGAGAATCATGGAAGTCCTGTGGGTGACCTTGGGGATACATGCAGCTTATCCTGCTCCTCAATATGTTGGATAAACGGAACCAGGACTCAAAGGAAAGCATTACTTGTGCAGAAAATGGGTTCCTAGCAAAAGAAAAACCTACTAACACAAGCAGAAAAGAAAACCAAAGTAATCGCAGGTGGCAACATTGAGTCCAATGTTAGCAACATCAGACGGAACCAGAGAATTTTCAGTTTATCTTGGTAACAGAGATTGCAACATTTGAGAAGGCAACTTTTCAGAGTCATTAACAATCTGAGGGGGAGGAAAAGAAAACAAGGGCCTCCAAAGGCAAATCTCAGAGAGAAACAAAACACCAGGCTCAGACTTAATAGAACAACTTCAAAAAGGCTACCAAGAAAGCCAGGGAGTCCTGGGAATTTCATATCAAAAGAGTAAGCCCTATTAAGACATTCTTTCATGCAACAGATCCAAGAACAAATATTTTAATGGAATGGGGAAAACCCTGGAAAAAACAACAGTTAGAAGGAAAATCATAATATGCTAGCGATACGCTGTAAAACAGTCAGCATCCTGTGAAAACTGTTATTCCTAGGAAAATGACTATGTCAACTGCAATGGAATTAAAACAAAGAACAGGGCTTTGGATATATTTTTTTCAGTCCAGACCTATCACTACATTGCTAAGGGTAATTCCCAGTGTGGGAGACTTCCTTCACCAATCTAGAACTGCAACTTCTCTTTAATTTACACTCTGAAAGAAATGCCTGGAGCACTGAGAGGTTAAGAGAATTTTCCATGGACACACAGCCAACATATGTTAAAGGCAGCACTTAAACAAAGGTCTTCCTGTCTCCTGAGCCAGTCTTCTACCTGATTTGCCTTACACTTACATTGCTTTGCATACAGTAGGGGCTCAATAAATGTTAGGTGAAGCAAATTGAATCTTACCCTCTGTACCACAAAAAAAGAAAGTGAGGGGTGGGATGTGGGCTAACCTAGCTTATTATCTCCCAACTTTAAATTATTTCTTTATTGTGGATTTATGTTCCTCTAAAAATAATGAACTATAATTCTAACCTATCAGTAAAGAAAAATCATATCTGAAAAGGGATTGGGATCCAATTTCCTTAAAGGTCTTTATTCTATGATGAGTTTACAAGGCATTAAAAGGACAGGCTCCTCTGTTTCTATAGTGGGGAGCACTGACCAGATGGGTCCCAAGCTAGCAGTCCCTGCTTCCTCCAGCACCTCACTCCTATGCCTGAACTGAGGCAACCCCACAAGACACACTCTGCCATAGAAAACAACCTCCCTGCACAGCCAGGCCCCCAACCCTCCGGCCTCGGAGGATCCCAAGTCCTCATCGCTTCTAAGGTCCCAAGTCACCTTGTCACGACCAACATTTCTGCTCAATCCCACGTGGTAGTCACTGCTCTGGCTGCTCTGACTCCTCCACTGTCCCTCTGTCCAGCTAAAGAAGGCAGTGTGGAACAGAAGAGAGCACAGAGGCTTGAGCTCTGCAGACCCAGCATGGAATCCTGCCTCTGACACTGACCAGCTGAGGGACCGAAGCTTCTCAGCCTCAGTTCTGTCATCTGTAAAACAGATACCTGGTACACAGATCTTTATAAAAGGGTAGTGGATGTTTAAAAATAAATCCGAGGCAATACTAAAACAAGATGCCCAATTGGACACAGACCACAGAAAACCCCTGACTGGGACTCAGCTGTGACTTGAGGACCTAATTTCTCTGACTCTCCCTAAGGGTCGCTGATTTCTGCTGAGATGCTGCCCCTCTGTGGGCCCTGAGCACCTGACAGTTCAGAAGAAAGGCTCCCAGCAGACAATCACAGGGAGCCCCTCAGAGCCAGCATCCAGCCAGCTGATGCTTCATTTACCCCACTCCAAGAAAGAATCAGAAGCTCCAAGGAAACTCATTTTCCAAATGCAGGCAGTTTAGTGCTGGAGCTTTAAAATAACAGTAAACTTTTTCTTTCAAAAGTTTCCAAAGTTTCAACTCTTCCAAGACACTCCCAAAGAACTCATGACGTAAAAATGCTATCTGTCTCCAAAGAAAGAACTGAAGGTGTCTGAATACAGACCAAAGCATACTATTTTTCACCTTTTTTTTAGTTTGTTTTCTTCTACAAAATGACTAACATAGAAATATGTTTTATATGATGGCACATGTGTAACCCATATCAGAATGCTTACAGTCTCAGGGAGGGTGGAAGGGGGAGAAGAAGGGATAGAATTTGGAACTCAGAACTTAAAAAAAAATGTTAAAAATTGTTTTCACATGTAATTGGAGGGAAATCGAATATTATTTTAAAGGGGATGGGGAATTTCCAAGTTCCAAAAGCGTCCAAGTTTCTCAACTCCTCACCCTCAGTGCAGATCAGGACTTTCTTTCTGACCTTCCTCCTCTCATTCCTATCTGCTTAAACTTTCTCACTTTTCCTTCTATATACATATTCCTCCAGGGGAATCTTTGAAACTGCTTGTCTTGTTTCTTTCATGTTCTGATCCAGCCCTTCTCTTGCTTTCTTCTACTTCCTTTCATCAATCATATCCTAAATAATCTTCCCTTCACTGAGTATCTTGTTTCTCTCTCTCCTCTGTCCTCCCCTCTGATGCTGCTACAGTCAGGGGCAGGGGTGGGGGGAAAGAAGGTGACTCTCCCTATTTGCCTTTCCTCTCTATTCTAAATCTTCCCCTGTATCACTGTCTTCCCAGGGGTCCCCTGCCTTTCCTTCCATTCCTAGCTGTTTATAATTGGTTTGCTTCCTCTCAGGTGAGCAAAACAGTAAGCAGGGATTTCTAACTTCTCGCTCACATTGGAGTTTCTCCTCCAACCGCCTCAGCTTCCTCTCAGCTTCTAACCAGGCTTCAGCAGCCCTAGGCACCGACCACAGCAGTGGCCAACCCACAAGGGCAGCCCATGCCTGCCTTTCCAGTAAAGTGAGGCACTCTCAATTCCTTCATCAAGCGGGAAAAGCCAATTAGCATTTGTCAGGGAATGCCGAACTCTCACAGCCAGCCCCACCCAGAATTACCTCTGGCTGACTGGCCACCCACACATAGGTGGCCAATGCAGGGATTTCCCCCTGTGAAAGCCTATTTCCCAAGTGTGGGCAGGCATCTAATATGAAGGCCACCCTTCCCTCTAGGGATGTGGGTGACAAGCCCCAAGATTCCCCCCTACCCCGGTCTCACTACCAAAGTCCATTTCTTGCTGTTCATGAGGCCAATTGTAAGGACACAATATTGGTAGGAGGGTAGACTACCCTGCCAGATATGCCAATTGTGAGGCCAGATGTAAGGGGGCTGATCTGTCCTGAACTGATATGCCAACTGAAGGGATGCAGAACCCTCCAAGAGAGTACTGAGATACTGAAGAGAGAGGCCCATTACAGCTTGGTAGTATATATGTAGCTTCATTAGGGTTTGGTTAA